TCAACTGATTTTTGACAGAGGTGCCAGGAAAGTGCATTGAGAAAGGATAGCCTCTTTGATAAAAGGTGTTGGAAAAACTACATATCCATATTTAGAATAAACTAGATCCTTATCCCTCACCATATGCAAAAATCAACCCAAAATGGACTGAAAACTTAAATGTAGAGTCCAGAATTATGAAATTATGAAACTTCTGGGGGAAAATGTAGAGAAAATGCTTTGGTACATTGGTCTAGGCAAAGATTTTGCGGATAAGACCTCAAGAGCACAGACAACCAAAGCAAAAATAGACAAATGGGATTATATGCACTAAAAAGCTTCTGTACAGCAAAAGAAACCATCAAGAGAATGAAGAGAAAACCTGCAGAATGAAAGTAAATGTTTGCAAGGTATTCATCTAACAAGGGATTAATATCCACAATATACAAGGAGCTCAAGCAACCCAACAGCAGCAAACAAACAAAAACCCCAATAATCCTATTTTAAAATGGGCAAATGATCTGAATAGACACTTCTCAAAAGAAGACATACAAATGGCCAATAAATACATTAAAAATGCTCAACATAATTAATCATCAGGGAGGTACAAACTGGAATCGCAATGAGATATCATCTTACCCTAGTGAGAATGGGTATTATCAGAAAGACTAAAAAGGCTACAAAAAAAAAAAATGCTACCAAAGTTGTGAAGAAAGGGGAACTCATGAACACTTTTAGTGGAAATGTAAATCAATATAGCTATTATGGAGAACAGTATGGATACTCCTCAAAGAAACTAAAGACAAAACTACTATGTGATCCAGAAATGCCACTGGGGATACATATTCAAAGAAAAGGAAATAAGTATGCAGAAAAGATATCTGAAAGCCTGTGTTTATTACAGCACTACTCACAATCGCTAATATATGGAATCAAAATGGATGTCCATCAATGAATAAATGGATAAAGAAAATGTTTTATATATATATATATATATATATATATATATTTACATTATATATATATATACATACAAAACACATACACACAATGGAGTGACATCCAGCCATAAAAAAGAATAAAATCCCATCATTTGCAGCAACATGGACGAGCCAGAATGACATTGTAGTAAGTGAAATAAGTGAGGCACAGAAGGATAAATACTGCATGCTCTCCTTTATATGTAGAAGTTAAAAAAGTTAATCTCATAGAAGTAGAGAGCAGAATAATGATTACTGGGCCTGGGAAGGGTGGGGAGTGGAGATAGGGAGAAGTTGGTTAACTGATACAAAATCACAGCTATAAAGAATAAATAAGCTCTGCTGTTCAATAGCACTGTAAGGTGACTATGGTTAACAATAGTTTAGTGTATATTTTCAAATAGCTAAAAGGCAACATTTTGAATGTTCCCAACACAAAGAAATAATAAACTTTGAGGTGATGGATGAAATTATCCTGATTTGATCAGTCAGACTATATGAATGAATTAAAATATCACACTGTACTCCATAAATATGCATAATTGTTATATGTCAATTAAAATAATAAAAATCAACACCTTTAGAAATACTGTATTGTAGTGATATACAACTTGAAAGAGATGTGGAACTTGTATTCTCAAATCTTATCTCACTTTACTACATTGGGCCAAAAGTAAAATGCACCAAAAGACTAGTATTACATAGTTAATGATAAAAAGTAAATTATAATTGGATGGCTTCTAATCAATGTTATCTAAGTAAAACAATGCAAGGAATATATTTTTAAAACTAGCACAATGGGCTGGGCACAATAGCTCACACCTGTAATTCCAGCACTTTGGGAGGCCAAGGTGGGTGGATCACCTGAGGTCAGGAGTTCGAGACCAGCGTGACCAACATGGTGAAACCCCATCTTTACTAAAAATACAAAAATTAGCCAGGTATGGTGGCAGGTGCCTGTAATCCCAGCTACTCGGGAGGCTGAGGCAGGAGAATCACTTGAACCGAGGAGGCAGAGGTTGCAGTGTGCCAAGATCACGCTATTGCACTCAAGCAAGACTGTCTCAAAAACAAAACAAAACAAAAAAGAGCACATTGTCTCCAGAAAAGGTCAGATAATATTGGAACTATCAAAAGATACAGAGTTGAATGAAATATTCAAGTAATTGAGTAATCTTTTGAAGACATTAACTATCAATAAATTATTACCATTTACCACAAGTAGTATGTGATAACTCAAGATTTTTACATCTAATCAATTGGAAATTCTAAGAGATTATCTCACAAATGAAGATTTCTTTATTCTTCATCGAGCCACAAATAAAATTAAACTCAAACTAAAATAGTTATCTCCATCTCTCCTTCAAAATGTGGACAATTATACGGTGGTAGGAAAGCAGGAGAAACATATAGTTGTTGAGTATTTATAATATGCCAGATTCTAAGTGTTGTATACATATTATATTGCATTCCTTCTTCACCATCAACCACTGAGTAGATATTATTAAGGATAATTTTCAAAGCAAGTAAGAGGTGGAGAGGATTCAATCCTAAGTGGTTCAGGATCTAAAGTGGTACTCTTTCCAACATATTGTTCTATCTCCTCTAAATATTCTTTCTTGGGGTTACAATCAAAAAGAAAACCTTTAGAACAACATCTGATTCCCTTAGTAACATTGTACTTCTGATCATTTCACAAAATTTACTATTGAATATGTCATAGAGCAAAATGACTTTCAATCTTCGTGTTACATAGGCATTATTTTGTGCACCTGCTCTAATAATGACAATTACATGGCAGAATCAAACATGAAGGAAAGCCTTCTTTATTTATTGCACATTAAAGTTGCAGGATCACATAGTGCAATAGGAGCAGAAATAAATTAATCCTCCATTCCTTAAAATGAAACAATACATCCATGTTTATTACAAGTGCCAGGAAAGTTGAATGCATTCATGGTCATTGTCATCTAAAGTCATTTTTAAAAGGCAGAGTATATGTTGGTTTCATGAAATGTGGGTGCATGTATTGAAAAGATAAAGAAAATATGCAGATTAATTATTTGTTGTATAGATTATAAATTTCTTTTATTCCAGCTGTTTTAACCTTGCCACTAAAATCTCTTGCCATTATGAATTATCATGGAATTTAAAACAAATGTTAATATCCTTAAAACATACCGTAGATGAGAAGTCATATAATGCATTGTAACTCTAAGATACATTTCAGTATATTTTATAGATCTGACATACAATAAATTGGCTAATATTTATCAATTTTTATTAATTTTTCCGAGTTCTTTTCTACTGGTTTTAGCTTCTATACAAGGAGCAATGTTCTGTGAACAAGTTGTTACAAGATTGTAAACTCGGTGAGAGTAGGCCCTGTATTTTATTATTACTGTGAAGGCTCCAACGTCTGGCACATTTTTTATTATAATAGCAGGAGCTCAATAAATAGGTGTTGATGGATGAATGAATGAAGAACAAATAAATATTTAGATGTTAAGTAAGAGATGTATACTTATGATTAAAGGGAATGGACAGGGAAATGCATCCTTAAAAGGTATAGGCTCTAACAAGAGTGACTAAATACTTAATCTTTAAAACAGAATTTAAAGTTGATTTAATAATTTTTAAAATAATTATTCAAATAGGATTGTACTTCTGATATAGAATTTTTTTTTAGTGGGCAGGGTATTTTTCCTAAAACCAATATATGAAATTTCTTTCTATGCCAGTACTCTTAAATATGATAGAACTGGTAAATCAAAGAAGTGAAAAGACAAGTTAAGAAATGTGTATATGAATGTGCATAAATCAGAGTCACCAACAATTAAGCCACATGCATTTTTTTCAAGGCATTTTTGTGTCACTTTAAAGTATAGACAGAACAGATAAATGAGAACACCTTCTGTTGCAGGTAAGAAAACTTAAGTATAGAGAGTCTAAGTGGCTTAGCCAAATTCACCCTCTAACCAAAGAAGAGTCTGGATTAACTCAGAGATCTTTCTACTTTCTGAGTCCTCTTAATTGTGTTACCTTGGGCACATCATTTTACCTATGTGTGGTTCTCAGCTGTAAAATGATGATAGAGATATTAGGCTGGCATTTTTAAATGAAGTTTTAAAAGTAAAATATTACAAGTGGAAGTACCGTGATCAAAAGGCACAGACATATAATACTGAATTGCTCATATAACATAGCAATTTTTATTTTAGTGCAGCCTTCAAAATGAATACTGGTTAAGAGTAGTCAACAGACCTACTGGGTTCAGATCCCAGTTTGGCCACAAGGTATGTGGCATTGGGCAATAATTTAACCTCTCTAAGCTTCAGTTTTTTCATCTGTAAAATGCTAATACTAATCCCTAACACGAAAAGTAATTGTAAGGATCAAGTATGATAACATATCTAAAACACTCTTCTCAGTGTCTGGTACATGTAAGCACAAAATAAATACTGGCTATTGGTATAATCACTTGTATGTTTAGTTTGACTGAAGTAGTCTTTAGAATCAGATATTGTTCAATTATTTTGAATTTTCATACAATGATACTGAAAGTAAAAGTACACCAAGAAATGTGTTTTAAAGAGCAATAATAAATGGCCTGTTCCTCCTCAAAAATCTTTTCCAAAAATAAAGGTAGGGAGCTACAGAAAAATTTCTGCTGGGGATGTATCAAAAGACAAGAGAAGCAAGAGTTCAACAGGGATTTGGGAAAGGGAATGCTAAAGAAGGCTAGAGCACAGCTAGAAAATAGACTTTCCTGCTTCACAGTTTTGCTAGAGCTTAAAGGTACAAAGACTAGCAGTTCCAGATCTTTCCAAAGTTCACACCAGCCTGCCAACATAAATTCAAAAGCAGACTAGAAGACTGATAGTCTTTCTTATTTCTTAATCAGCATTTTAATATAGTCTTTGATAGACTTTTACAGAAATATGTATTTGTACAGAATATAGAAAAATGAGATGGACACATTTTTAAGTCATTTTTGAACAAAACCTCGTTTTCTTCCCATCAGTATCTGCTTTTTCTTACCGACTCTCCTTTATCCCCTTTCTGCCCAGGTGAACCCGGAGCTCCTGGTAATCCTGCTTCTCCCTGAGCAAAAATGCATAGCTGTGTTAGCAGACATTCTGTCACATTGATCTAAAGCCAAGTGGTTTATAAATATGAAGCTGACAATAGCAAGATAAGGCTTTGTTCTCTAAGCTGATGCTTAGAGTGAGGAATAGTGAGCCGTGTGAACAAGGAAAAAAGGGCATGCCAATGGAATTCCAATGACACGCCTATTTTCCCTTGTTCACATGGCTCACTATTCCTCACTCTTCCAAACACTATTTAGCATCATCTCCTCTAGACCTTCCATGAGTTGGAACACATGCTGCTTCTCTATGCGCCCCCCCCCCACCTTGAACCTTGTCTTTTTCAGGGAAATTACTATGTAATTTTGGCTACTAAAAAAGTGAAAATTTCCCTTAAACTTTCACTCCATCCCCATCCAGGTTCAGCTAAGAGTTGAGGTAGTGGTGGATGAGTAAGTTGAGGACATGTACTAGGTCACAGTGCTAGGGCACACTCTTCTCTAGGAACTGGAGCAAGTTCTCCTTTCCTCAGGTATAGGCATTGGCGAAAGCCACCAAGACACCACTCAGCCTTGTAGCACAGGCTATATGACTGCCATTAACATCCATAAAGGAAGTTCATAAAAGCCCATGTCCTGGCCTTCTTGACCAGGGGATCATATTGATGCAGATGAAACAAATTATTTGAGTAAGAACAGAGCACCTCCTTATATTCCCCTAACAACTTGTAGTGGATGGAAACAGATGGTTGAAAATCTGGGGATGCTGGAAAAATACAGTCTACATGGAAAAAGAAATACAATGTAAAGTATTTTTGTGTATGTTTTTGAAGAGCAGGCAGTGTTTTCCTAACTGTGAATTCCCAGAACTTCAGCCTATTCTTGGCACATATTAAGTGCTCAGTACTTGCCTGTTGTACAGGTGGTTCCTCCCTTCACCTTTCTATTCATTCTAGTTCATGCCCTGGAAGGAGAACTATCCAGATAACAATCCAGGAAGCCTTTTTTTTTAACCCACCCCAGCAACTGAGGTATTTGCTTCAACAAACACTGAAGGACAAGATACATTCTGTGAACAGAGACTCCATTCAAGGAGCTGGGCTCATAGTCTGGAGGGGTTTTCGATGTGCCCAGATTAAAACCAGCATACCTTGTTTGGAATGCACTGGCACTGGTCTTTATGTTCCTGCTTTGCTGGCAGATATGCAGACATTTTGCTGGCATGAGCAGTTACTGATGATGATGCAATACTTCCAAAACCATCCTGTTCTAGGCACTAAAATCCAAAAAGAGGGTTTAGGAAATGGGATCAATTCCAAACATTCTGATGTTCCAAACACTGGCTCCCACTAAACTAGGGATTGCTGAAGTTGCTTGCAAGAACTGCTTTCCTATTAACCAAAAGTTGACACCAGTGTGAGAATGTTTATTACACTTTTGCTGTTTCTGCCTGAGCCCATGTGTTTTCTTATACTGACAACACACAAGAAAAATATTTAAAATGATAGTCTTGGTAAGGAATTCTAAAGTTACATTAGGTAACTTTTTGGTAAGTACAGAAATTTCATACATTTATAATAATTGTATTGTTGCAATAAAATAATTTGTACAAACAATATGTGAATACATCTTTTGGGAACAAAAATTAAACTTTAAGCACATAATTTGAACCTATAAAATATGCTTTCCTTCAACAAGATGATTACTAAAGCATCTAAAGTAGAAAATAAATTCTTTTTACACTCTTAGACAACATTTATTAAATCAAAGTATGCTTTATTCTAGTCTACTGTTCTTTAAATATATTAAAAATGTCTTCACTGCAACAGACAAGTAGTGGATTTTATACTTATCCAGTGAGCTCAGAGCATGCTGGACAACATGAAGTGAAATTTGATTACGAAGCAAGGAACTATTTGTTTTTCAAAAAAAATTAATCCAAATGGAGAATCTGAAGAAGATAAACACATTATTTTTTCTCAATATCATGTACCAGACCCCTCACCATAGCTTTCAAATCTGAATTTGCAATTTCATGAAGTGAAAGCACTAGGGGAAAGTTAATATGTTACTTTGTAAACCACAAATTAAAAATGTGAGGTAAAATATTCTCAGGATACAAAACTAAAATATTGTCCGTGGTTATCTACAGTGGTTGAGATCATGGTTGATATGTATTTTCTTTTATGGATTTGGTTATATTTTCCGATATACATAGATAACTTTTGTAACAAAAATTCATTTTGATGATCCGTGCAGCAAACCACCATGGCCCACATTTACCTATGTAACCTGCACATCCTGCAAATGTACCCCTGAGCTTAAAATAAAAGTTGGAAATAAGAAATTTAAAAAAGAAAACTTGGTAGTAACTGAATTATTTGATAATTACAATAAAAAATGCAACAAAACTAGTACCCAGAAATACTGCAAGTAGTTTACTGTATCTGGCAGTAGTTCTTTCAAATCTATTCTCTCCATAATTCATGATTAGTTATTTATCCCAAAAAGTTTCCAAATCCAAAATTCTAAAAACTACTGGACATTTGAATGGAACAAGTTTATCACCAAAACAGTTCATTCATCTCATGTGATTTGATATGATTTCTCAGGCAGTTCTTACCTCGTGGCTTCCCAGTCAGATAACAAATACCTACCTAGAATTCACATTTTTGCTCTGGATAACTGAGTCACTATATTATATTGAGGATTTAAACAACTTTAAAAGTATGTCTCAGCCTTCACCATAAACCTATCCACACTCCAGTGCCTAGAGGCAACACCAAACACAAGTAAGGACTCTTCTCATAAAACCTCTGTTTTTGATTTAACACATATTCAGTATTAGCCCTTAAAAATTTAACCACATTTCTCATTTATTTTCAACAACTGTTACTGATTTCATCCTTCTCTTAATATTTGTTCTTCATTCTTTTTATGTCTATAGTCATGATACTTGACTACTTTAGAAACTGAAAATCTAAGAAACAAGAAAGCATGTTTATAGGTGATCTTCCAAAAATGTTGCCTTGGAAATGCTTCATAAAATATTGACAACCAGAAAACACACGTGATTTGAAATTCCAGGTTAAAATTAGATAGTTAAGCAACTACATTAAAAATTTCTAAGTTCAAAACATTTTGCAACAAAAAAAGAAAATAAATACAATTGGTATCAGAAGTACAGCAGATGCATTTAAATGCCTTTTATATAATTATTTATCTCTCCAACTGTACATTCCTATTTATAAAATGTAGTATATTTCTATTTTTTGTTAGTCATTAAATGAATGGTGATATCCCCTCCAAATAATTGTCAGCAAAAAATACAGTCTTTTGTTATTTTTTCCATAGTTGGAGATAAATTCCCACCTTATTTTCTATTCTTTGAAAACTAACTCCCAAATAATCTTTTCAAAACATGATTTAAAAATCTTTTGTTCATAATGTGTGAGATCATGTTCTGCTTTGAATTACCAACCAACCATTGGTAATTCATCACCTATACTTCTTAAATAATTTCTTCATAAATCAGTGGAAAGTGTCTACTATATTAATATAATGATAAAGGGCAGTGATTACCAGCCAAGTATATATATTCGGACATATCAAAAGATCATTATATTACTCTTCAATCAGAGAAAGTTATTATTTTTAAAACTTTTGCATCAAAAACGCATAATTTTAAAAAACTTTTGGAGATTTAACACCTTCAAGACTTAAATGTGTAGCTCCAGGAAGTCTAGGTATTTAAGCCTGTAGACTGGCACTCTAAATTATCTTTTCAGATATTTATAGAAAGATATTTGGCTGGCTTGCATTTTACTTGGAATGAGATACATGAAATGGATTGGATATATGCTTTATAAAGCCAAGTTACAAAAGCAAAACATATAATATTTGAAAGACTTAGCTATGCTCTAAGTCACTTGGTCATATTCTCATTCCACTACCCAAAGTGAGCTACAAAAGTTAAAAATATTTTTGAATTATAAATTATTGATAAAATTTTTGTGTAATTTTCTATGCCAAGTATAGAACTTTTAAGAAATCTAAGATCCAAAGAAAAGGCATTTTCACCTTTTACTTTCACTTTTCATATGCTCTTTCTGTACTTTTTTTAGAACTAGTCCCTTTTGAATACCTTTCTGTCCCATTTATCTCTTTTAGTAGTTAATAAGTCAACAAATGAAACAATGATTGTCTACTTTCTCCAAATGAAGCATTAGGAATAAAAAAATTTATAAAGGTAAAACTTCCCTTATTGAGTCTAAATTGTACTTAAATAAATTTAAAAACAAATATAATTATGCCTAGTAATATAAGATAGCACACGTGACCATTACAATGAGATATATAGAAATTATTGAATTTAGTGTTCTCCTTGTAATTAAAGATTGATATAAGAAAGTAACAGTTGGACAGTTAGGTTGGGAATATTTAGAATGAGAGATGAGGAACTGGATTTATATTTTGTTTCCAATGGGAGCCACTTAAGGCCTTGAAAGAGAAGAAGAGAGGGCAGGGAATGTGCCTTATTCATATTTGTTAGCCCTGCTCCTTAGCACAGTGTCTAGAAGATTGGTGTTTTGAATAAATTGTTTGCTGGAAGAGAGTGAATGAATATTCAAAGCAGTGACTCAGTGCTGCAAAGTACAGGGGCAGGACATGGGGAAGGCAGTTGATGCAATAATGATTGACAGCCCAGACATGAGGTAAAGGTGGACTTTGGAAGTAATAGGAAAATGGAAGAAGAAGATGAAAAGTCTATGTCAAAGGAAAGCTAGCCAGGATGGGTGACAGGATAGAAAAGGAAAATTAGTGAGAATAAAGTATGATCATAGATTTAAAACTTCTGTAACTGGAAAATAATGGTGCTGCTATCAGAACATAGTTTAGGAAGAAAGGCATAAATTCTTTTTTAGTTATACTGAGTTAAAAGTGAGGATGTATTATCCTAGAAATTAAGGGTGAAATGCTGGGATTAAAACTGTGAAAAGTAACCATGAAAAAGCACTATGAAGGCTTTCTTACTTGGAACAAATTATTCACCTGGTTTCAACAGAACACACTCAGTGCTACGCTACATTTGTACCCTACAAACTACGCACTAAAAGATAATTGGCATTCTTCATTCTTCATATGCAAAGAAAATTAACTTACCTTAGTATCTGACATTTCACAACATGTTTCTTGAACTATGAAGTTTGCACTACAGTAGATTTTAAGTTGGTGAAGTTCAATCTATTAAAAAATTAATAATAAGAAACATCATTAGTTTTTTGAGAATCACATTCAGGAAGTTAAGAACTACAGTAATTTAATCGGAAAGAAAAAGAAAAGTAATGTAAATGAATTACTGGTAGATATTTTAATGTTTTTACTAAATGTAGGATTCATTGTTTCATGAACTACTTGAGAGACATAGAGTTGGATGTCGAGATGGATCTATAGATAAAGGAAATCATGTAATGAAAGCAATTGCAAACCTAGATTAGCTGTTTCAAACAATAAAATAGAAGCATTTAATTAAAGAAAGCTATTGTTTTACACTACAATAATGTATGCACAAAATGAGGCCATTTAAAGTAAAAAAAAAAAAAAAAGCTGGATAAAAGTTTAGATTAAAGATATGAGCACATGATGTGAAAGGCTTTATCTGTATTTCCAGACTCCTATTTGAGGCACTGAAATAGGTGTTTACTTACCAACAAGAAAAAAATGTTTTCATTTATATTTCATGAATTCTGCCTAAAATCTATTGATTTTATATTATATTCATATAATCCAAGCAAGGCTAACAACCTTTTTATAAAAATAATTGATTCTTTCTATTTGCTTAGAAGATTTCTGTTTTTTGACATTTGGACATGAAATTAAATGTAGTTCACGGAAAGTATAATCATGCTTTTAAATGCAAGATCAAATCACCACCTAAGAAAAAGTGTATAGTACTGACTATTGATAAAATATCAATATAATAAATTCTTAAATAGGCTGTTTGAATTCTTCAAGCACTGAAATGTTGTATTAAATAATGCATTACTTTGAGACCAATAAGCACTTTATATAGAAAGACCCAACTCTAATCTTATAATAATTAATTCTAGGATAATAGAAAGCAGGCATTTGTGAGCAGTGGTGAATCTCCAACTTTAAAAGCAAAAAAGGAGGAAAAAAGCTATAACTTTTACTTTACACCTCAAAATAACAAAATCAATTCAGTTCATAGAATACATTAAGAGCTCCAGACATCTTATAGATTCATAAACAGCCTAAGATTTGCAGACAATGGAAAATCATGAGACTAAATGAAATGTAGTGATTTATGTTCTATAAATTTTTGCAAGGTTATTAAGGTTAATTTTTATTTATAAAGTTTAAATACACTGTCTTACATAGTATAATGAAATACCAGCAGTAACATATGAATTATGTAGAATGAAGAATGAGGACTCCAATTAATTTTATTCTTAACTAAAACTTATTTATCATCACTGTTATCAAAATAATAAATATTGAAATCCTATTATGTACCATCCATTGTATCAGGCCCTGGATATGAATTGTTTTACTTAACTAAAGATAGATGATCAATTTTCAAAGGATTACAACTTAATTGAGTTCCATGACATTGGAACCACAGTCAGAATAGTTTATGCTTTCTTTATTCATTCATTACTTTGGAATGCTTCACTGATACAGTGCTTTAAAAGGAGAATGTTTAGGCCTAAGTCTGTACTGATGCTTGTCAAAATGCTGAGTTGACTTAAAAAAATCTTCCTATCAGTTTTGTCACTTTCTCACAAAAACATACAGGTGGGATATGTGAGATAAAAGTCAATCATGAGAATGTTTTTTCCAATAACACACAGCCCAAATAAATGCATTTTCATGCCACAACAGATCTTATGAATCACAGGGTTTGTGCTGAGATCATGAAAAATTAATCCATTCAAAGTTTTAGTAGAACCAAGAATCTTTTACAAAAATATGTAAAATTCTACTTGTTTAACTCAAATAGAGACTATCTCCAAAAATAGCTGCAGCATTGTGACATGTCTTCAAGCTTATTCTCAAGTGAATCAAGAATCCACATTAAATTATGAAACCACTGAAATACCATGGCTTTCACTTATGTCCTTTTTACAAGGATTCACCTGATATTCTTTAGCCTCAAATTGTGGTATCAATTATTTCCTTGGGTGAGAAGTTAATGAGACATAGGACATAGAGCACTCAATCTTCTTAGGTTGAGGTCTAAGACTGGATCCCATTCTTGCAAAAACTCTAGGAAATAAACTATAAACTGTTTATACATAACACACTAAGAAAATGTACAGCCATCAAATTTAGATATATCTAACTTTTTTAAGATAATAGGCCTTGTTCTCTAGGGAAATCAATAGTAAATCTATATCATGTTAGCTTCAAGTTTAATATTTAAAGGAACTTTATATCCAAAAGGGTTTTACTAGGCAATTTTTCTCTTTCAAATGACCTACTAATACATTTAGTGACTATTTCAGTACAATAGAACCCTGAAACACTGTTATAAGCTTATAAAAAATACTTTGCAATATAAAATAATTGCTATTGCAAGGATGAATGGTCTATTGTTCTTGAATGAAAATAGCAGATAATCTGGTTATTTATTAACCATTAATTAAATTAATTTAATTAATTTAATTAATGGTTAATAAATTTAATTTAAACTTCAGTTTAATTTAATTTAAACTTCAGTTTTTTCCAGTCCTTTCTATTTAAAACATATGAGCTTAGAGCAAGATTATATTTTGTATTACATTTTCAATTTTCACCAAAATTTACTTTTAACAATCTAATTTTTTTAAGGTATGACCTAATTATTTTAAATTCACAGGCTGAAGAAAATGGGTATAAAATAGAGTGAAAATAATATATGTGAAAATATAGTTGGAAATAACATAGCTGTTCTTCACACATCTGATGGTAAATTAATTAAATTAATAAAATCGATGATAAGGGAATCTATTACACAGTAATAAAAGGAGGATGCTTTTAATAAGATTTTTTTTTTTACTTAGAAATGTTAGTTCTTTCACAACTAACATCACAACTTACATCCACAGGCTTGCCATCTGAAGCTCGCGCAGCAATAACTGTCCGTCCATGGAAATCCACAGTATCCTTTTCATCAGTCTGCCTGCTTGCAATTAAATTACAATCCATATAGAGTGAAATGATCCTGGATTGTATACTAATGCCAAGTTTATGCCATTGACGATCAAACAAAGGACGAAGTTCTCGATTTTTAAAAATGTAGTTCAACACATCTCCCTCCGTGGCTTGAAACATAAATTCCACCACTTTCTTTCCACCATCAACTACTACAGAAATCTGCAAAAATGTAAAGTAACTTTAAATGTTTTAAATATCAATGTTCAAACTTATTAAAGCTCACAAAGAAAAGCTCATGATGCATGCTAGTGTAACTGAGGCACTTAGTAAAATATTTTAGATGACATTTGTTTCCACAAGCTTTGTTAAAACAAAAGAACAACAAATACTGCTACAAAAATGGTTTAGAAATGGGGCATTCTGGTGAATGTAATATGCTCCTTCCTAAGAGAACATCTAAGAGTATGTGTGTGTGTGTGTGTGTGTGTAGTTATTTTAAATGTTTATATAAATCATTTATGTTTATATATACATAATTTATATATATTAGCATAGATATAATTTTATAAGAATATATATAAATCATTGGTCTGTATTAGTAACACAGGAATTTAAGGTTCCCAATTTAAGAATACTAAGAATATGATCATTTCCCTAAGTAGGGAAACTAAGATCAATTTTATCACCATTGATACTTTGCAAGGTACAGAGAAAACATATTTTATAGAGGACATATTCTTTTGGTTCATCTACTTATCAAAAAATTATAGCGGTATTAACAGATTAAAAGATCAGTGAAGATTTAAAACATTTCAAAGGATCTGTGTAGAAGTAAGTACAAATGTATGGTGCAAATAAGTAATTCCGAGGTTCTTCTCCCTGGAGTACCAGCATTCCCTCTTTTCAGACCAAATGCCATCTCTTCCACATGCTCTCCTAGATCCCTGCTCTCTCTATCCCACAATTCCAGTGAGCTGTCCTTTCTATGCTCCCATTGTCCCCACCTAACACTAAGCTTAACTCTACCAATGTACTTGTTCCACTGTATTATAATTATGCTGCATTATGTTGTTCTCCTAGATGTCATCTCCTTACACCTTATGCTCCCCGATAATACAAGTTCTGTTTTTTAGATCTCTTTTCCTTGTCATTATCTAGCACATAGCATGTGTTCTATACATTTTTATTGATGGGAAAGATATTTAAGTCTCAATCTTTGTTCACCAAGAGTTGTCTGATGAAACAATGAACTGCTTTAAAAATAATATATAACATTAGAGATGACAGAAGGTGAAGAATGTGTTAGAAGGAATTAGTCAATGAATCAGTTGTAAAGAGAATGCAGTTTGACGTATTTAGAAAAAATATGGATGGACCTAGAAGCAAATAAAAACAAAAACTAACACTATGTCATCCACTATACTCTCATATTTTGGATCTCAGCAAGACCATCCTAAGTATGAGAATATTTGCATTTCCTTTTCGACGATCCCTCTAAAAGATAGAACATTTGGATATCAGATTTACTCGTAAATTTGTGCACACAATTCAAAAAATTCACCTGGCTTAATCACACAAGGAAAACTAATAAGCACAACTCTAATGGTATTTCACCTGTGGAATATTCTGCTGGTTTAAAACCTGCCACAGAAACCATCGTTCCTTTTTGGTGTTTCTTCGTACTCGAAATATGGCGGATACAGAGTACTCCTCAGGAAGGCCTTTGGGAAATATCTTACTGTGGGAGGAAAACAAAGAACTTTTGAGGGGAAACTGAAGATGGCAAGAAAAGAAAATCTAGGTAAAAAGTCCTGTGTAACAAAACATCTCAGTCATATTTTTCTCAATGAATTTATAATTTATTATGTACTTTTCTCTTTCTCTCCTTTCAAAAAAAATCTTCTGGTACAGTGTTGTTAAAGCTTGGAGTGTATAAAAATGAGAGAAGAGATTACAGTATTAAGTTGTTTCCTTATTCAACAAGATATTCAACAGAAGAAAATCTCAGAATTCACTGCAGTCTGACAAACAGTAGAGATTTATCAAGGAAATAAAATAGTATCACTTGATTTTGTTGGTAGAGAGAGGTACAGAAAATTTTAAAGAATACTGGTAATAAGTAAATGAATATTTTCCAAACACATTTCATCATATTAAATTCTTGCAAATGAGTTCCTAATACTGATTTCCTAGTCCCAACTGAAGACCATGCTAACTATAACATGGATATTTTAGCTTTATTTTTCAGTTTGCTCTTTTATAGCTATTAACTTTTTCTTGCTTTGTACTACTGTCATACAAATCACATCTTTACATTTTATATTCCCAGCAATGTAAATTTCTAATGATTGCTTTATGTATGTATATATTTATACAACTGTATTTTAAATCTGATAAGAAAATAAAAGAAACACAAACTATATTTATTCTGGCTTTGATATTTATCTATGTAATTAACTTTTCCAGTGCTTTTTATTTAATTGTTTGGATTTGAGTTACTGTCTAGTTTCCTTTCATTCAGCTTAAAGGAATTTCTTTACTATTTGTTGTAGGGCAGTTGTGCTAGTCTCAAATTCTGGCTTTTTTAAATCCTTAATTTCACCTTCAGTTTTGAAGGATAGTTTTGTTGGATATAGAATTCTTGATTTACAGTCTTTCCATTCAAAATGTTGACTATGTCATCCCACTGCCTTCTGGTCTCCTCCATGGTTTCTGATGAGAAGTCAGCTTACTCATATTGAGAACTTCTTGTATATGGTCAACTACTTCTCTCTTGCTACTGTAAAAATTCTCTCTGTCCTTGACCTTTGGCAGTTTATCAAGTGACCAAGTGTGGATCTCTTTTAGTTTGTCCTTCTTAGAGTCTGTTGAGGTTCTTGGATATATAATGATTTTTACCAAATTTGAGAAATTTGTATTTATTTCTTCAGATAGTCTTTCTTTACTCTCTCTCCACTCCTAGAATTCCTATTATGCATGCTTGCTGGTATCACACAGGTCTTGAGGCTTTGTTTATTTTTCTTCATTATTTCTCTCCTGTTATGCAGACTAATTGAACTATCTTCAAGTTCCTGAATTTTTTCTTCTCCCACCTAAGATCAGTTCTTGAGCCCCTTCTGTAAATTTTTCATTTCTGTTTTATACTTTTTTACTCAAAAATTTGATTTGCTGCTTCTTAATAATTTCTATTTATTGATATTCTCTATTTGGTAGACATCATTCTCAAACTTTTCTTTAGTTCATTAGTTTCCTTTAGTTATTTAAATATATTTAAAATAACAGAAAAAGTTATTGTTAAGTAAGGTCAATGTCCAGTTTTCCTCAGAAACAGTTTCTATTGGTCACTCTTTTATCTGTGTATAGTTTTGCATACCTTTTTTTGCATATATTGTAATTGCTAATTGAAAAGTAGACATTTAAAATAATGTAATATGGTAACACTGAAAATGAGACTCTACCTGTCAATGGTTTGCTGTTGGTGCTGTTTGTTGTCATTATTGCTGCTGCTTTTTATTTGCTTAGTCACTTTCTTGAACAAATTCTGTAAAGTCTGTATTCATTGTTATGTGTGATTATTGCAGTCTCTGCTCCTTTAGCTTAGTAGTCAACTAATGATTGAACAGTGAAAAGCTTTTGACCTAAAAGCATCCCAGCCTCTGCTCAAGGCCTATGTGTGTATGTTGGAGAATATCTTAAATGTTCAGGCTGGCAGCTTATAAATCACCTTAGCCTTCAACTCCACTTGTTCAGAGCTTTGAAGTTGGCCAGAAATAAGAGTTTAAGGGCTTTTCAGGCCTTTCTTGAATTTGCACACAGCCCTGTACATAGAAATACATGTCTGCTTTCCTACAAATAGGTTGGAGCTTTCTAATACTCTATATGGATGTCTTCTTCCCCAGTTTTTTGTTTAAAACATTTTTTTGATCAGCGTCTTCTTTATTTCAATTATAACTGCTGCCTCAGGCAGCTGCAAGATTAAACAATTACCACTGATTATTTTCAATTAATATCCAGAGGAAAAGGCTATTGTTATAAGCTCTGACCCGGTCAAATAAAGACCATGTGTTGGGGTTTTTAGGGAACTACCAGGCAGGTAAAATAACAGCAATTCTCTGAAAATTGGGCTTTTAATGAACTTCACACTCTTTCTTCCCTCTCCAGCAGCTGCTAAGTTGCTAGTTTTCACTCTAATTCTGAAGCTACTGGTTTTCAAGCCTACCATGTGTTGAGGAGAGAGGGATTTGAATAGGACAAGTTAAAATGCCACAAAGCCTGCTAGTCTTACTGAGATTCAATGTTTTTCTTGAATAAACACTCAGATTGTGAAAATCCCTTAAAAATTTTTGAATATATTGATTTCGACAATTTTTGCCTGTGTTCTTACTGCTTTTCTTGAGGAGTAGATTTTCTGAAATCCTTCAGAAATAACAAATTGTTATTTTAAGACACTAAGTTTTGCAGTGGTGACTTACAAAGCAAAAGATAATAAAAACATTTTTTCTCTTCATTTTCTACTTAGTATAATAGTCATGCAGTCGCTAGTCCTTCTGTTATTAAGACTGAAAGCTCTTTGAAAGCAAGGACAGCATTTAACATATCTTTGTATCACCCACAAAGCCTAAGTGCAGTCCCAACAGGCATTCTATTTGTTGAATGAGTGAGTGATCCAGCAAATGAGACAGAGACATGCTTAATTTTGAAATGATACTTTGAGGTTTAATAAACAAAAACTAAATAGAGGTTGGGTGTGGTGGCTCACACTTGTAATCCCAGCACTTTGGGAGGCTGAGGCAGGCAGATCAATTGAGGTCAGTAGTTCGAGACCTGCCTGACCAACATGGTGAAACCCTTTCTAGTAAAAATACAAAACTTAGTCAGGCATGGTGGCACATGCCTTTAATCCCAGCTACTCAGTTGGCCGAGGCAGCAGAACTCCTTAAACCCAGGAGGTGAAGGTTACAGTGAGCCGAGATTGCACCACTACACTCCACCCTGGGTGACAGAATAAGACTTCATCTTAAAAAGCAAAAACGAAAACAAAAAAGAAACCTAAACATAATTATTTTTCAATAATTTATAATCTAGGGAGAATATTTTTGCATCTCATGAGTAGTTTCTACTGTGACAAAAATAAGACTATTATCAATATTAATATGTAGTAATTATATTTTAAAATACACATTGAAGTAAATTTAGTTATGTTTAAGGAAAAATTGATTTTTAAATCTAAGTATATAATGAATGAAAATCCTTATAATTACTATATTTCCCTTTCAGAAATTTATATTGTGCATTCAAGACCAAATATGATTTTGCTTGCCAAGATTGTGCTATTTGAAGAAAAACTTCTGCATTTAAAAAATAAAATGTTAAAAAAAAATCTATTCTTAAAAACTATGCTTGTTGTTTATACCACACAAGCACAAATGCTTAATGTGACACAGTATAGTTTCTCTGGGTCTTGCCAAAGTTTCTGTTATAAAAGAGGCCATATTGGGTTACCAATCTGTTACCAGAGAGATATAATGACAGCTTGCTATGTCTAAGATATCCATGCTTGAATATTTTGAATGGAGTGTAATTTCCTATAAGAAATCCTATCCATTGCTTATTCAGTGATACTCCCATTAAGAAAAATATCGTTGATCTTTACTTGCTAAATTCATTCATATATTGGGCTGGAAATTCTCAGTAGGATATTTCTTGCCTTCCCTCCATTTTATACATGTTGTATGTAGTTTAATGTCATAAATGAAAATTTTATCCACATAAATTAGTACTAACCTACATTTGAAGAGCCCAGACTCAGTGAAATTTAAGTGTAATTTATACTTTAAATTGTCTATTTTTTTATACATTAATTAAGGTCATCTAAATATTCATGGGCCAATGAAGGCACAAATATACCAACTAACAAAATATTCAATATAAAATCAATATTTAAAAAAATATAGCTAAGTAAACATCATATAGTCCAACTAAAGTTGGTCGAAGTGATCCAAGCATGCCAAGGGAAATGTGTCGCCTGGGAGCCGACCTCACACTGGCCTCTGAGAGTAAGGGGCCAGCTCTAGATGTAATCTGGAGTATCTCTGAAGCCCTGTAATTCATATATCTTGGACTCCTTTAAACTTGTAATTCACTTCAATGTTGCAGAAATCTAAAATGTAGCTTGCATCTGCTCTCTCACATTCTCTGTGTACAGCAGCCCTCTGTTTAATCATCAAATGGAAGAAAACCATATGAAACGTAGGGGAAGTGGCCAAATGATCAGAAATAGAACTCCTTAAAAATGACTGATTACAGTACAAGCAGTGTCCAGATCTCAGAAACAGTGTCAGTGAGGCTTTGACTCCAATAAAAAATTTATTTCATAAAAAATCTTAACATTAAAATGTTTCTTTCTTGGTGTTAAGATTAAGAAAGATTTTTTTCTTTATATTTTCTCAGTTGTTACAAGGAGCATGAATTCTGCTGATGATCAGGTTTTTAAAAATTACAGCTATTCCCATCTTGGGAAAAATAACCCTAACTTCTAATGTGACCTATAAATTATCCCTATATTCTTCAAGGAAAGAGATGAGGGAGAATTAACACAAACTGCACCCCCTCACACACCTAAAAGGCCATCTGCCTCAATATGTTAGTGGTGAGGCAAATTCTTTATAAACTGATAAGGGTACTAATATCATTTCTTCTATTTTGGTAGGTAAAAATTAAGTTGAAAAAGTCTAGAAT